CAGGGAGGGGAAGGAGCCCGAGGCAGGGCCCTTTTGGCGCCCGTGGGCGGAGGAGTCGGGGGCTGCCGCCCCATCCGCCGTGGAGGGCGACGCGTAGACGCCAACTCCACTTAGGGCCTCGGGCTGGGACCCGGTGGTGAGGGCGGGCCCGGGTCCCCCACTCCCCCACCCTTCCTACGACCCTCAAGAGCCGGAAGCAAGGCGGACGGTGCCCGCCGCAGAAGCTGGCCCGGGTCAGGTCCCCAACCCCCACCCCCTAAGACACCACGGACAACCCCCCCCTTCCGGCTGAAGGAGGGGGCCTGAACTCGGGGTTCGCCGAACCCTCTCGGCCATCCCTGGTCGAGAGGTGATCGCACCCCTTTCCTGGGCGGCCCTGTCAACAAGCCCAGGGGGCTGGGGACAAGGAGAATAAAGAAGGCGGTGGGTCCGCGGAGCCCCGCCCCCGGCTCTACGCTGAGTCAAAGAGAGGGGGTGCGAGGTGCTCGCACCCGTAAATCCGTCACACTGGTGGAGAATGTGGGCACCGGTTAACTAATATCCCCCACAGACGAACGAGGTCGAGAGCATCGAGCTATCCCCGATTCAGAAGACGCGGGGGAACCGGAAGAAGCGATGGAACCCCGCCAATTCCTGGAGTGGTTCGAAGGGAACCAACGATTGCAGAACCAGGCTCAGCAGGAACAACAGACTCAGTTGATCCAACAGCTGACAAGCCAGTTCCAAGAGCACCAGCGGCAACTAGTTCAGGAACTCGCCGCTCAGCAAAACCAGTGGCGACAAACCGTAGAAAGAAGATGGGGGGCAACGGGGGGAGGACCCAATGGGGCGGGAGAAGGACCCAACCTACCCCTGCGGCTCAGCAAGTTGGGCCCGCAGGACGACCCCGAAGCCTTCCTCACAACTTTTGAACGGGTGGCAACAGCGGCCCGCTGGCCGCCGGAACAATGGGCCACCCTGCTGGCCCCCTACTTGAGCGGGCCCGCCCAACTGGCCTACCGCAGCCTAGCGGTCACCGATGCCTTGAACTACTACAAGGTCCGAGAGGCAATATTGGACCAGCTGGGACACTCACCGGAGACCTGCCGGCAGCGGTTCCGGCAGGAGGGGTTCAAAGCGGGAGACAGACCGCGGGCAGTGGCTCAGCGCCTACGGGAATGGGCCAATCGGTGGCTGGAGCCCGAACAGAAGACGGGCCTACAAGTCACCGAGATGATTGTAATGGAACAATTCATACACATCTTACCCCGAGAAGGGCAGCGATGGGTCACCTGGAACCGACCCACGACCCTGCAGGAGGCAGTGAACCTAATGGAGGCGCACCTCCTAGCGGAGCAAGAGGAGGGTGGCGTCAGACGAGAGGCGTTGCCCGGCACGAAGGTAGGGGGGCCCCGGATCGGGGGGAAGCCCATAGGGAAGGAACCGGCCCCGGAGCCACGCCGTGCGCGGGACAATATCCCCCGCCTAGCCCCGGTGTGGTCGCACCCGCCCCCAGAGAGAACTAGCGGGGAGGAACCGCCGGAGAAGGTGCCGAGAGAGGCCCGGGCTGGTCCCCGCGGCCCCTGCTTTCAGTGCGGACAGATGGGCCACTTTAAGCGAGAATGCACCTTGATGGACTGTACCCTGAACCAAGGGGAGGGGGCCTACCCGGAGGGGGATCAGACCGACGAGGGGAACCGAGTCGTGCGAGACATGATGGTGGAAGGGCAGCCGGTCAGAGCCCTGGTGGACTCTGGGTCATCGGTGACGCTCGTCCGGGCCGACCTCATCCCCCCTGATGGCCGGAAGGGGAGCCGGTCTGGATGAGATGTGTTCACGGGGACACCCGCGCCTACCCCACCGTCTTGGGCGGGTGGGGAAGGCCCAGACCTTGCCATACCCCCTCCTCATAGGGCGAGACTGGCCCGGGTTTGGAACCCTGCTTCAGAGCCCGACTGATCCCACGGTCCGAGGGGGAGCCACGGAACCCCGGGGAGGGTACCGCGACGGGGAACCTCGCGGCCAGGCCGCCTGCTTGGAGATAGAGACAGGCCCGGACTTCATGACGGAGCAGAGAATGGACCCCACCCTACAGAATGCCTGGGACCAAGCCGGGGTGCCGGAGGATCCGGAGCAAGGCCCGGAGGGGCCGCTGCAAGGACCCCGATTCCAGGTATGGGAGGACCGCTTATACCGGGTTTCAGAGGGAAAAAGGGGGGAAATGCAAAAACAGCTGGTAGTTCCCACCCGATTCCGCCGGGAAGTACTGGAACTGGGGCATGCGAACCCCTGGGCGGGCCACCTCGGACGCGAGAAAACGTTAGAACGGGTCTTACAGCGATTCTACTGGCCGGGGGTCTTTCGGGCGGTGCAGGATTTTTGCGCATCGTGCCCCGAGTGCCAGAGGACGGCCCCCGCGCGGGTGCCGAAGGCCCCCCTGGTGCCCCTCCCCGTAGTAGGGACTCCGTTCGAGCGGGTGGCCATGGACTTGGTGGGACCCTTGGAGCCATCAGGGAGGGGGCACCGTTTTATTATGGTAGTAATAGACTACGCCACCCGATACCCGGAGGCAGTCCCACTGAGAAACTTGAACTACTACAAGGTCCGAGAGGCAATATTGGACCAGCTGGGACACTCACCGGAGACCTGCCGGCAGCGGTTCCGGCAGGAGGGGTTCAAAGCGGGAGACAGACCGCGGGCAGTGGCTCAGCGCCTACGGGAATGGGCCAATCGGTGGCTGGAGCCCGAACAGAAGACGGGCCTACAAGTCACCGAGATGATTGTAATGGAACAATTCATACACATCTTACCCCGAGAAGGGCAGCGATGGGTCCGGCGGAACAGACCCACGACCCTACAGGAGGCAGTGAACCTAATGGAGGCCCACCTACTCGCGGAGCAAGAGGAGGGAGGCGTCCGACGAGAGGCGTTACCCGGCACGAAGGTAGGGGGGCCCCGGATCGGGGGGAAGCCCATAGGGAAGGAACCGGCCCCGGAGCCACGCCGTGCGCGGGACAATATCCCCCGCCTAGCCCCGGTGTGGTCGCACCCGCCCCCAGAGAGAACTAGCGGGGAGGAACCGCCGGAGAAGGTGCCGAGAGAGGCCCGGGCCGGGACCCGCGGCCCCTGCTTTCAGTGCGGACAGATGGGCCACTTTAAGCGAGAATGCACCTTAATGGACTGTACGCTGAACCAAGGGGAGGGAGCCAGCCCGGCAGGGGACCGGGCCGACGAGGGAAACCGAGTCGTGCGAGACATGATGGTGGAAGGGCAGCCGGTCAGAGCCCTGGTGGACTCTGGGTCATCGGTAACGCTCGTCCGGGCTGACCTCATCCCCCCCCGACGGCCGGAAGGGGAGCCCGTCTGGATGAGATGTGTCCACGGGGACACCCGCGCCTACCCCACCGTCCAGGTCCACCTGAGCGGGGGCGGGCAGGACCGGCTGTGGCGGGTGGGGAAGGCCCAGACCTTGCCATACCCCCTCCTCATAGGACGAGACTGGCCCGGGTTTGGAGCCTTGCTTCAGGGCCCGGTTGCCCCCACGGGACGAGGGGGAGCCACGGAACCCCGGGGGTTGTGCCGCGACGAGGAACTCCGCGGCAAGGCCGCCTGCTTGGAGATAGAGGCAGCCCCAGACTTCATGACGGAGCAGAGGATGGACCCCACCCTACAGAATGCCTGGGACCAAGCCGGGGTGCCGGAGGATCCGGAGCAAGGCCCGGAGGGGCCGCTGCAAGGACCCCGATTCCAGGTATGGGAGGACCGCTTATACCGGGTTTCAGAGGGCAAAGGGGGGGAAGTGCAGAAACAGCTGGTAGTTCCCACCCGATTCCGCCGGGAAGTACTGGAGTTGGGGCATGCGAACCCCTGGGAGGGCCACCTCGGGCGCGAAAAAACGTTAGAACGGGTCCTGCAGCGATTCTACTGTCCGGGGGTCTTCCGGGCGGTGCAGGATTTCTGCGCATCATGCCCCGAGTGCCAGAAGACCGCCCCTGCGCGGGTGCCGAAGGCCCCCCTGGTGCCCCTCCCAGTAGTAGAGACTCCGTTCGAGCGGGTGGCCATGGACTTGGTGGGACCCTTGGAGCCATCAGGGAGGGGGCACCGTTTTATTATGGTAGTAATAGACTACGCCACCCGATACCCGGAGGCAGTCCCACTGAGAAATACAAAGGCCCAGACCTTGGCCCGGGAACTCTTGCGGATTTTTTCGCGAGTGGGACTGCTGCAGGCGATCCTCACGGATCAAGGACCTAACGTCACCTCCCGGCTGATGAAAGAGCTGTGCGTACTGCTGAAGATCAAACGACTGCAAACATCAGTCTACCACCCGCAGACGGACGGTTTAGTAGAGCGTTTTAACCAGACGCTCAAAGGTATGCTGCGGCGGTTCGCGCAAGAAGACCCTCGGGGCTGGGACCTGATGCTCCCGAGCCTCCTATTTGCGGTGCGGGAGGTCCCCCAGGCGTCGACCGGCTTCTCTCCGTTCGAGTTGCTATACGGCCGGCGGCCCCGTGGGATCCTCGATCTCTTGAGGGAGGGCTGGGAGCAACCGACGGGGTCAGGGCGGGGGACGGTCCATTACATCACCCAACTAAGGGAGAAGTTAAGCCAACTGGGCGAATACGCCCGATTAAACCTCGAAAATAGCCAGAGACGCCAAGTAAAGTATTACGATGCCCATGCACACCAACGTGTCTTCCACCCGGGGGACCGAGTCTTGCTGCTCCTCCCCACGACAGAATCCAAACTACTAGCGCAGTGGCAGGGACCCTTCGAAGTGGTTAAGAGAGTGGGGGAGGTGGATTATGAAGTGCGACTAACCGGCCGCAGGCAAGGAACGCAGCTCTTCCACGTCAACCTGCTAAAGAAATGGATACCCCGAGAGGCCCTGCTAATCGCACCTCGAGAACAGCCAGAGGCGCCAAGTAAAATATTACGATGCCCACGCCCGCCAGCGGGTTTTCCACCCGGGGGACCGAGTCATGCTGCTCCTCCCCACGACAGAATCCAAACTACTAGCGCAGTGGCAGGGACCCTTCGAAGTGGTTAAGAGAGTGGGGGAGGTGGATTATGAAGTGCGGCTAACAGGCCGCCGGCAAGGAACGCAGCTCTTCCACGTCAACCTACTAAAGAAATGGGTACCCCGAGAGGCCCTGCTAATAGCACCCCCCTCCGAAGGAGAGGACCTGGGACCCTGGGGGGGGCAAGAAGGCGAAGAGACCGAGCTCTCTTGGGATCCGGAGCTGACACCCCCCCAACAGGGGCAGCTGAAAGAGATGCTCCGGGGGCACCAAGCGACCCTGACGACCAGACCGGGCTGTACGATGCTGGGGCTACACAGGATTATAACCGAGGAAGGCCGGACTGTGCGGGAGCCCATACGCCCTCTCCCCCGAAAGATGGGGGACACGGTCAAGCAGGAGCTGCAGCAGATGCAACGGTGGGGGGTGATAGAAGAATCGGCCAGCGAATGGCGCAGCCCGATCGTCCTGGTCCCCAAACCCGACAGCGCCACTCGATTTTGTATAGACTTCAGAAAGGTAAACTCCGTGTCCCGGTTCGACGCTTACCCGATGCCGAGGGTGGACGAACTGCTGGAGCGGCTCGGGCAGGCGGCCTACATAACAACCCTAGATTTGTCAAAGGGCTACTGGCAGATCCCCCTGGACCCCGCGGCACGGGAAAAGACAGCCTTCTCGACACCATTCGGATTGTTCCAGTTTCGGACCTCCAGTTTCGGATCATGCCTTTCGGCCTCCACGGGGCGGCAGCGACATTCCAAAGGGTGATGGACCGGGTACTAACACCCCACCAGGAGTACGCTGCCGCATACATCGACGACATTGTCATCTATAGTCCCACATGGGGAGAACACTTAAAGCACGTCGATGCTGTACTGACAGCCCTGGGTAAGGCGGGCCTCACGGCCAACCCCCGTAAATGCCACTTCGCCCAACGGGAGGTTTCTTACCTGGGGTATGCAGTAGGACGGGGGAAGTTGAAACCAATTTACAGCAAGGTTCAAGCCCTGAAAGACTACCCCATCCCAACAACCAAAAAACAGATCCGCCAGTTCCTGGGACTGGCCGGGTACTATCGGCGATTTGTGCCCCAATTCGCCTCGCTGACACACAGAACTGGCCAAGGTGAGGTGGAACCCACAGGCGGAGTACGCTTTCCGGGCCTTAAAAGACAAACTAGCCTCCGCCCCAGTGCTGAGGCAGCCAAACTTTGACAAACCATTTATCCTTTATACAGATGCCTCGGAGGTGGGACTCGGGGCGGTACTAGCCCAAGAGGAACAAGGCGCGGACCAGCCGGTCCTCTACCTCAGTCGAAAACTGCTGCCACGAGAGAGGGCATACGCCACGATAGAGAAAGAAGCACTTGCGGTGAAATGGGCGATTGACACTTTACGGTATTATTTGTGGGGGAATAAATTTAAGTTGGTGACTGATCACGCACCCTTGGTTTGGTTGAACTCTATGAAGGAGACGAATGCACGTGTAATGCGGTGGTACCTGGCCTTGCAGCCGTACTGTTTTGAAGTGGTGCATCGGCCTGGGGCGACCCACCAGAATGCAGACTTTTTCTCCCGAATCGGGGAACAGTCTCCACCCGGGGCGCGCCTCTCCAAGGGGGGGAGGTGTGTGACGGACCCGGCGGGGTCCGCACTAGAGGAGGGAGCGGGACTCCCCCCCCCTCTGGAGAAACCGCGCGCCGCAAGCGGCGCGCCGACCGGCATCGCAGCCCCGGAGTTGGGGCAGCGGCAAGCCCAACCCGGGGCACCCCGCCGGGAGCGGGGGAGGGCGCGGACCGCGCGGAAGCAGCCAGCCCGCCCACCCCGGCTCCCGGCTCTGAACGGGGCACGGGCCCCTGCTGGGGCAAGGGCGGGGGCGGCGGCCAGGA